GTAAATATTAGCTTCCCAAACCTAATATTTTTAAAGTAGATGATATTCTTTAAAGTATTCCATGAAAAATGTACCTTCTTTGCATAACTGTTACCATATTTTATTTCGTTATAGCTCAGATCAGACACCTTCTTCGTTGACAGGGTGCAGTTTCTTTCAGTCAAACGCTTGTTGATTAAAAATTACCTTGAAGTGTAAGGGGGTGCACAATTCCGCGTTCGTTGTCTATGTCTACCCGCGTCGTTCTTTCTGTTTTCCTTTACCCGGGATAGCCAGTTTTATTGACAGTTTTCTTTGTCTTGTCATCTTCGTCTAAAAATGTAATTAATCTTCCTTCCGTCACTTTCTCTCAGTCTGAGCCTCTTTCACTTTGAGGTTGACGCCAATTACTAATAGCCATCGGTCGAAAGAATGTTCCTTATCGAGTTGAGCGACAGGCCGCACTGTTTTTAAATTAACAAAGCCTCCACTTGACTCATATTATAATTTCGCCTCTGTTCTCTTTGAAAAGTATCCAGGCGAGCATAACTCTGGCTTGGTCTTGCTTTATTTTCAGGCAGGAAAGTGTGTAACCTCATGGATCCTAAAGTTGCCAATTAGTACTTCACACACGAATTATCAAAGAATGATGTCCATATCATTGGGCAAGTCATCAATTGGTTATCACCAATGAAAAAACAATTGATGATGTCTATCCTTTAAGGATTAATTCCAAAATCAGTTTAAACAGTGTTCCACTGGGATTTGTGTGAAAGTTATATTGTAGCTGCTGAAAAGTCGAACAAACACAAAAACAATGACAAAATGACACGTAGTAAACTTAACAACATATTTTATTTAAACTCCGCTAGATCCGCAATTCTCTAGTGGCACTGGAATTCCTTACAATCATCATCATCGATGTTGTTATAACAACACCCCTCCTTCTAAGGTATCAGGTCATCCCATAAGTTCTGTCCGAATTTTGAATAAAGAAAACAAGTGACCAAATGTTACATTTAATTACAGATTCAATCAACAATGTATTTTCCCTGATTATCTATGACTTTCTTCCATCTATTAACAGGCTTACTAATTCCATTACTATAAAATTCTTTTGGCTTTGATTCAAAGAACTCGCAAATCTCAGTTTTAACCTCTTCCTGTGTTACAAAAACTGTTTCTTCCAAATGATTCTGTAAGCTACGAAACAAATGGTAGTCTGAAGGAGCAAGATCGAGAGAATAAGGTGGATGAGGAATTTTCTCCCAACCAAGTTCTTCGATCTTTTTTAACGTGATTCTTTCTGTTTGGGGTCGCGCATTGTCCTGATGAAACATCACTTCTTTTCGATTCACTAGAACAGGTCTTTTTTTCCTCAAAACTTGGTTCAAACGCTCTAATTGCTGACAGTATATTTGAGCATTAATTGTTGCATTAAGTGGTAGGAATTCAAAGTGGATTATTCCTTAGCGATACCACCAGATTGAAAGAATAACCTTTTCCCCATGAAGTTCCCTTCTCGGCTGTGGCTGGGGTCCTTCCCCTTTACCAAGCCACTGTCTACGACGCTTAACATTTCGATAAAAGATCCATTTTTCGTCGCCCGTCACAGGTCTATCCAAAAAAGGTGAAACAAGTTGGTGAGAATGGAGAGAAGAGCAGATGTCAACTCGGGATTTGAGGTTATTTTCAGACAATTCATGAGGCACCCATTTTCCAAGTTTAGGAACTTTTCCAAGTTGTTGAAGATAACGATGAACAGTTGTATGGTTTGAACTGAGAACCACTGCCAATTCCTCAACTGATAAAGCTTTTCATCAAACTCAACTGGACGTCCGGTTCGATCTTCATCTTCAAGGGTGAAATCTCCACCTCTGAATTTTACAAACCATCTTCTGCAAGTTCTTTCATTCACACATTCCTCTCCATAAACTGAGTGAATGTTTCTAGCCGCTTCAGCTGCTGAGTTTCCTTTCTTGAACTCAAAGCATTATGTGCCTCAAATGATTCTTGGGTACTTCCATGTTTAAGGTTTTAATCAAACAAAATTTAATTTTATTGTTCTCTGAAATAAAATTTGATCAGTATAAATGAATCTAAACATAAAAATAATGTTCAGCTTCATTATACATTATAAAATACTCTTTAAATTTCATTCATTTTAACAAAAAGTTAAATTTGGACAGAACTTATGGGATGATCTGATAAAAATTATATATATATATATATATATATATATATATGTGTGTATTTATATATATGTGTGTGTGTGTATATATGTGTGTATATAATAAATACTCTTTAATATATTTTAACAAAAATAAAAATTGGACAGAACTTATGGGATATGATAATATATATATATATATATATATATATATATATATATATATATATATATATGAATATATATATAAATATATATATATATGTGTGTGTGTGTGTATATATATATATATATATGTGTGTGTGTGAGTGTATAATAATAATAAAATACTCTTTAAATTTCGTTCATTTTAACAAAAAGTTTAAATTTGGACAGAACTTATGGGATGACCTGATAGTTTATCTTCTTTATTAATTCATAACTTTTCCAAATTACAAAATAATTACAAATCAAAGTCTGTATTGGTTACAGTCCAAGGGTGGTAACTCACTCACATTGTGAAATCAAACAGATATTTTAGAGTTTCTATTTTTCGTCCCTCGCCTTGTTTTTCCAGTACTTTTTTCTTGTATTATTATTTGTATGAAGATCCTTGTAATGATGACTAAAGGGTTTCATTTTTGGAGCCTATTTCAAAATTTGTCTAAATTGCAATATGAGGAGCACTATAAAAAAAATGGTTGCTGAAGAGATTAGGTTTATAAGTCCCAGAAATTCATAGCTATCATGGAAAGTGGAATAGGAAGGAGTTCATATTTAAAATTAAAAAAATCAAGGAATTAAGTTAATACCTACATTAGAATATATAATAAAATAATGGCTATATCTTTTATGTAACACAGACTTTTTGAAAATAAAATTAAAAATATTTTAAAGTGAACATTTTGAAATGTAAACCTTAAATGTTCTTTTCCTATTGAGTAAATACCTATATGTGTTTCTTAAAACTAATGATCTATTAAATAGCGAAATGAACTTTGGTCAAGTGTAGGCGTAAAATGCACTATTAAATATAAGGGTTATAGAAAATTATATATATATAAATATATATATATATAGATAGATGAGAGAAGATAGAGAAAAGACTACAGTTCGAAAGATTGTCGATACCCATTACATTTGAATTTTTGAAAATTATAGCTTTCAGGGACTTTGGAATAAAGAAGGGAGTTCATATTTAAAATGAAAAAAATAGAAATTAAATTAATATTATTTGTACGATAATTATAATAAAAAATGGCAAAATAAAATTCCTTATATAATTGATTTTTTCCCGTGAAAATTCATTAAGTATATTTTAAAGTGAACATTTTGAAATGTCTTTCCAAAAATTACCCAAACCTTATTGCCTAATTGATTCTATTCTATTTTAAGTTTTTAAAACTAATTTTCTATTAAATCAAGAAATGAACTTACAGTCATGTGTAGACATCGTAAAATGTTTTTTAAAATATAGTTATATATATATATATATATATATATATATATATATATATATATAGATAGATAGAGAGAGAGAGAGAGATATTTTTATAAGTTCGAAAGATTCAGGCTACGTAATTGTTGGTAATTTGTTAACTTATATTTAAATGTAGATATATATTTAAATATATCATAAATTATTATATATGGTTAAAATAACGTAATATATCATATATGTTTTTTTTATAGAAATTTTATTATTATGACAAAAATAAAAAATCCTTATATAATTGGATTTTGCTCCCGTCACAATATCCTACTTTAGCTTTGATTACTGCAGCCCAAAATTTGGACATTCTTTGAAAAAGTTTCGAAAAGTCTGATAATTGATTCCATTCTATTTTTAATAACCCTAAGAGCTCTTTTTCATTCTGTCAAGTTCATCCTTTGCTAATTCTGGGATATATTCAAACTTTTGAACATATTATATATATATATATATATATATATATATATATATATATAGAGAGAGAATATAGAGAGAGATATTTTTCCAAACGTAGCTTGGATGTATAAAATAAAATATATATATAGTGAGGATAGAACTATACTATATCATTTTAAATTGTTCTAGCGACATTTTTATTAACCATTAATATATATATATATATATATATATATATATATCATATATATATATTATATATATATATATCATTATATTTATATAGCTTAGTGGCAGAATCTCCGACTGACACCAGTTCAGTCGGGTTTCGATCCTAGCTGGAGGCTGCCGGTTGTCTAGCCACACTGAAGAGCTGCGAAACAGTCTGTCTGTGGATGACTTTATATTAAATAGGTATGTCACATTAATATACGTATTATTATATAATTCAGAATATATCAATGCGTACATTGTCTCCCAATAAAGTGTTCTAGTAATTTAAATTGACAATATTTATCGGAGGTCGACTCAGAGTTACATGGTTTCTCACTCGTATTATTACACAACACATTTACATTACACACACGCGTTATATTTATTTAATGGGGACTGACGCATAAAGAATCATAAAACATTTAACACACACACACACACACACAAGTATTTCCAATTTTTATATCACAGTAGAATCCACACACAGTGATTTCGGAATTTTGAGTTTCCTTCCAAACCGGATAAATGTATGAATCGTTTTTATAGATGTAAATATATAATCAGCTTATTGTTCATTTACTCTTTCTTTTGTTTAAAATGTTTTTATTATAACACTATTCCGCCTTTGATTTCCAGGACGTCAATCCCATCTTCCTAGGTTGGCTCTTCGTCGAGAGTATAAGTTACTCACAACAGGATACATGTTCAGTCGTTTGTTTTTCCAGGCCGGGTCACAAAGTCAGAAAAAATAGCTAAAGTTAAAATAAAGAAATGGCGAACAGACGGAACATATTACAACACGTCGTTTTTATTGTTTGGACTCTTTGCTGCGGTAAGTAAATTTGCTTATAAAATAACACACACAATACCATATTTCTTCTGGTTTTTCTGCTATAGATCTCGAGATTCTAGACAACATCCAAAGAAGGTAATGTAATTGATCCTGACCAGGCTTCGAGACTTCAGTCACTTTCTCAATATGACGTGGCTTCCCTCTGTCTTTTCTACAAATATTTCCATGGCAACTGCTCTGATAACCTTTTCCCCCACCCCGGGTACCTCGTCTATATAAATTTAAGCGTGCTACTAGATTGGCAACTAGGTCCCACCGTTTTTCTGTTGAAATAACTAAATGCAACCGTCACTTTTACTCCGAGAGTTTCATTTCACGCACTCCTCACCTGTGGAACTCCCTTCTGCTTCCTTGCTTCCCTGATAACTACAAGCTTCAAAAATTTAAATCTGCATCTTCTGGTACCCCGTGCATTTTTGTCCTTTCCTCAATCCTCCCTATTCTGAATCTTCTTTCTCTTTCACTCCCTGTAACCGCCTCATACATATTAGTGACATTTACCGCTTTGCAACTGGAATGGTACATTCTGTTTTTGTTTTTATTAGTTACTTTGTTCATTTAATTTCATTTTCGTATTTTGCTTTGATAAAGTCCACATTGGACGAAACGCGTCAGCAACTACCAGTTTTCCTATTGTCATTTTTATTCATAAATATTGTCTTCTCTACCGATTAAATCGGAGAAATTTTCATATATATATATATATATATATATATATATATATATATATATAAGAACATTGGGGAGAAAATGTACGACAAAGGGGAAAAAGTTTGATACGTTGGTACGACTATACATGCGCACGAACGAGGGATGTTGGGAATTTTAATTTTCTTTTTAAAGAATCTAAATGAGATTGGCTAGATATATATATATATATATATATATATATATATATATTTATTAAATTTCAAATTCCCAACATCCTTCGTTCCTGCGCATGTGTGTTTGCATCAACGTAAATTTAGTCCGATGAAATTCTAAATAACGAAACGTGGGACAATTTATTACACGTTGTCATACATTACACGCATAATTTATTTTTCAAATAGCTGATGAGTGGATTCACCTCTGTGAAGTCAGGAGAGAATTTTAAGATCCGATAATTTAATTTTTTACTATTGAAACTGGGCCTAAGTATGAGTTGACCTTTATGTGACATGGCTTGTCAAATATGTCTGATCTAGTGGAACTAAGGAGTGTAGCTAGCCTGAACATTTACCATGCAAAAGAGCTGTTAGCAACGTTACATCATTGGGAAAGGGTTTTGAGGTTGGAAAACAGTTAATCATCCACAAGGCCGCGTAGACGTTTCTGAACCCTGTCAAGGCTGGAAAGTGATGCCTGAGCAGCTTCAGTTCATATTTGGTCTGACCTGGATCTTGTGAAGATATAGAAGGGCAGCAGAAGTCAGGTATTTTCTCGAATGGTACAAAGAATTAACCATTTTTCGAGCATCTTTAGCGACGGATCGTAAATACGAGTTCCCCTTGAGGCCGGGCATGAGTTTTAGTCCGAATATATTTTTTCTCCTTGAAAGTACAACCCTTCATCATGCCTAGAGAAAAACTCAGTCTAGACGGTGATAATCAAAACATTACTATTAATAAGTTGGTTTTTGGAGGTGTTGAATGTTACAAGCCAGTTACACTATTACAAAGTTTCCCAAACTTATTCAGACGCGGAACTCTTCTGGGTTCAGAAACTTTTGGGGGAACACCAGATACTAATACTTTTATATGGTCATATATAAATATTTTCATAGACTTTTATAAATAATAAGTACATTCAAAAAGCAATTAAAAAATAATACATAGATATATTTTTAATAAAAATGTGATTCTTTAAATAGAATTGCGAATTTTAACAGAATTACGAACAATGTTAACATGAAATTTAATTCATACGTAATCAAAATTTTTTTTGAACATTCAATGAAAACGATGCTTTTGTTTTATATTATCACAATTTTTTAATGTTTGGTTTTATACTTGAGAATTTGATTAAAGTCAACAGCAGGATTAAGTCGACTTTAGTATTTAGATTTTACGGCAGTGTAATAGGAAAATCCACTTTTATATAAGTAGGTTGGTGTTGTGTTTTTAACTGGAATGTATACACACGAAATTTACGCCAACGAGAGTCAATTAAAAGCCAGAGCTTTTTTCCAATATGGCGAGAAAATTAACTTTCAGATTTATGTGGCTTCGTAGTACACAAATGATTTCACAATCAATAACTACTTTTCATTCACTGATATACGGTATGCAAAAGTATTACAAATACATCACAACATTATACAAATCTAAATCTGTTGGCAACTATTTTTTTAGAAATTATTTAGCAACCCTGATAATGTGTTAAACATTTATTACTCTGAAATTTTGTCATAGAACCACAGACACTCCTTTGCGGAACCCATGGGTTCCTCGGAACCCACTTTGGGTACCTCTGCACTATTAAAATGTCCATTTTGAAAATCTAAAACATAATATATTTATATAATAACAGGCCCTGTATAAATTAAACAATTAAACCGAACTGTTTTAATTTCAATTTCGTTAATACCATTATATGGCATTTGCAAATCTCTAAGAAAAAACAAATCGGAAAAGAATCTGTTCTGGGCAATTCCAGGTATGACTGCTAGTAATCCATACATTTTTCTGGTTTAATACTGACCTTCAGATTTAACCAGATTTAGACTTTTAATTTAACTTTATTCTCGTCTAGATTAACTACATCAGTAATTTGGGAAAAAGTGTTTTCTACAAACCTCTAACTTTGGTGTTACGATTACATAGTGCTGGATTTAAGCAAAAGCTAAACAAAGTACAACTTCAGAATTGACAACCAGCTGAAGCCTTCAATGCAAGTCTCGCATCGAAACTTAAAGATCTGAGTTGCTTACTTTTAGCTGTAGAACGACAGTCTGAGTAATTACAAGTAAGAATAACTGAAATTAAGATAGAAAAGTACAAGACAAAACAATGGATGTTAATACTTCATCAACACCACCACAACTTCTGCTACTACTATCAGTCAATAAAACACCTACTACTACTACTACTACATACCACAATCCCTCAATGCAACAAGTACTGTTATTCCCTTTGTCATTCTTATCTTAATTTTTTGTTTTGTTTGTACAACATTTACTAAAGACCGGAAGAAAATTTTAAGTATAAATAGTCTATAATATTCAAAACGAGGCCGGTCGGCCATCATTTTTATAACCACACGTGAAGGGAGGGAGGTATTGGAGAAGGAGAGCATAAAAAGCGACTGACGAAAAGACACTGAAAAGTATATTAGGAAAAGAACAAAATATATAGAGAGAACGAAAAAAAAAAAAATAAGGAACAATATTCTTTTTATACCGATTATTGTTAATATGGCAAACCCCCTTCAAAATGGATACGCTAATGGCTTCAATAATAGCATAATTGTTTATTATCTAGCCTCCATAAATTATTATCCAGCCTGGGGAGATTAAATGGGGAGATTAAGAAGTGGGTGTGTGAATTTTTTTGTGAAATTTTCTTTCTTTTAATACGTTTAAAAAGGTCAAGGTCAGCGTTCATTTATCGATGTTACATTCGGCGTTAAATACACCGACTTAGCTGCAGCTAATAAGGAACAATGTATTAAATTAGGATAATGGTTTCAGACATCATGGCTCCCCACAATTTCCTGTGCTTTGTAGCTCTTAATAAATTTTGTCTGTTATCTCTAAACAAGCTCAATATGTTATGCGTTGTTTTTCTTTATCCCTCTTGTCTTCAATCTGGTTTGTGAGTATCAAATTTTCCAGTCCGTCTTTCTTCGTGTACCATAGAAATTTCAACCGTCTCTTCCTGGTGTTAAGTATAAGTTCCCTTTTTGTTTCTATTTTCTCTAAAACTTCGTTGCTCACATATTCGGCCTATGGTATCCTCGGCATCCTTCTGTAGAACTACATATCTATAACCTTATTTTCCGATAAATCGCGTATTTCATCATACTTATCAGCAGGGCCGCTGCAAAAGTCTCATGCCACCCACCGAATCTATAATATGGAGGGAACACTCTGCTATATTTCAATTTTCATAAGATTGTTGTCATAATATACAAATTTTATTGGGACCTAATTATGTACAATAATGGATCATATGCAATGTACGCAAACAATTCAACTAGAAAAATTGATATTAAATATAGTGTATCCAAATAGAAATTAGAGACATGACATCATAAATCATTCTATTTTAAATCAATGTTTTGCGGCAATTTTTGATATAAAATTGAAATTTTTACTTGAAGTATTTTAACACATTCAACATTGTGGATAAAAAAAATGAATTTTTTTTAGTGTTTTTTTTTTTAAGATTTAGCATCAGTACCATGCGTAAAAACATTCACAGATTTGAAAGAAAAAATTGATTCTAGAACAACGCCAAAATCTGAAGTTTTTTTTTTATCCTTTAATAGTCATTTTGTGCTTAATTTGTAACGAATATAAATATAGGTAGAAAAAAAAATCCAAATGTTGATAAGATAACGAAGGTCACAAATCACTGTCTGGGACCCTCAATCAAGCTTGCAGTCAACCAAGACTAGGGGGTAATACGCACCGGCCATACTTAGCAGGATTAACTGTTTACTCATATTTTTCGTTCCTTTTAATTTTATTTGTTTTTATTGTGAAAACTATCAGCCTACGGCGGGGCAGATTGGAAATAAGTTTCAGACAAAATTCGAAACCTTATCACTTTTCCTAGCATACCCAACTTCTGCAAGCCATAAATGTTTTCTTTAGTAGTAAAGCTACTTGGGGCAGCAAAAATGTGGTTCTTAGTGTGGGTGCCATGTGAGCAACTGCGAAGTTTAAGAGGAAATGAAAACAAAAAAGAAATTTATACTTATTAAAAAGAGACAGTTGAAAGTTATAGCAGACATAATAAAGAAAGAAGACTTGGAAAATTTGATACTCACAGGACAGAGAAGAGGAAAATAAAGCATAAACTACCTAGCGAATTTGAATAAATGAACGGGAGAACAAAGGAGAAATAAGAAAAAGACAAAAAAAATTATTAAGAGCTACAAAGGACATGAAATTGTGGAGAGCCATGATCACCAACGACCGGAAGTTACGACACAAAAAGAAAAATGTTCATGTGAAAGTGGCGACTTACATTAATTGATAAAAATTATGTCCTTGGTGCAGCAAAAGTGAAAGTTCACAAGTACAGTGTGCCTAATTTAAAAAAAAAGAAAGAAGCCAAATTTATTATTACTGTTTTATCTTTCAGGAATAATTGACCTTGAATAAATTTCTTGACTATTCATGACCTTGAAAAACATTAAACTCCCGCGTAATTACTTAAATCTGATTAATTCCTTCTCGACATTGACTCGTCACTTAAAGGTTATTTATAGACAACTTTCGTCTTGCCCTTCTCATATGGCTAAACAACTCACTGATTTTGGACCGCAGGTAGTGGTATATGATTTGGTGCGTTTTGTTTTTCACGCAAATTTTGGCGCTATTACACTTATGCATCTCCAAGCTTTATGTGCACACCTCTAAATCCCTGTTGTCCACTGATAGCGAATAGGTTTGTTCCCTACAACGGCTCATGCAAGCAATGCAATCCATACTGACTGCTAGCAAACCATAGTTACGGCACCAGTAAATGTAATCATACTTATTATAAAACCCAGGTTATGTGTGTGTGTGTGTCTATATGTTTATATATTGGATCGGATTTCCTACATTTTTCAACCGATTTCAACAAAACTTCACAGGACTACGTAAAATTAACTTGCGGTGGTTCTGACAGCGCCAAACATGGAAAAACACAATTGTTTTTGCACGAAATCAATTTGAAAACACGATTAAGAAGCATGGCGAAAATGAAAGGGGGACAACTCATATCGAGTTATACTTATCATAAACCCCAGGTTGTTTGTGTGTGTGTGTGTGTTCGTTTATATATGGGATCAGATTTCCTACATTTTTCAACCGATTTCAACAAAACTTCACTTTTTTTTGGCAGTTAGTGTTTCTTATTTTCTTGCACACTTTTTTCTTTATTTTTACACTCAGAATGCTTTAAAAATTCCATTTACAAGACAATTGTTTATAATAAAATTCTATTCAATCGGTAGATTCATAACGATTGAAAACAATGTTTTTGTTTGAGTTTGACCAATTCGTAAAAAAAACAAAACAAAAAAACAAAAACTAATTAAGACATGCGTGTCCGTCAACCTTAAACAATCTTTGTCAATTTTATTTTTCAGTCTTTATGATGGTCGATACTTGATCTATCTCTTACTGTTACATCCCCGGGCAACGCCGGGCTCTACTGCTAGTTATCAATATAGTTGTAAACTGGTGCTCTAATCTTCAAAATGGTGATGTCTTCAAAAACCTGTTTATTGGGAGCGCGTTGAACACCAGCCATAATACTTGGTTTGAAATAAACATTAAAGTACGTGAAGTGATGAATGTAAGCAATGCAAAAATGATAGCCAACGGGGAAAAAAATTATTTTTTTGAGGGAAAAATTAAATCGTGGCGAGGGTAGCGAAAGTGTAACAGCGCCCAAATGTTTACATTGAGAATATTTTATAATTTTGGAGTAGACTGCAAATACAAAATGAATTATTTAAACAGATTATGTTTTTTTCAGTGACCAACTCTGGAGCCCAGGAAAGCAGTGGCGATTCAAAATACTGGGTATCGGTGCAAGATTTATCATCGACGCAAAGTTTATCGACGACGCAAGGTTTATCGACGACGAACGGTTTATCGACGACGAACGGTTTATCGACGACAGAAAATGTTTCAACGTTGATCGCTAAGTTGACATCAACGCAAGTAACTGACCAATCAACTACATTCATAAATTACAACACAACAGTCACAAAGAAATTAGAGTCAACGTCATCAGCTAAAACTACCAGTCAGCAAACGACGAAAGAAACGGTCACACCGACAAAATCCCCAACAAACGAAAAAAATGTGGACGTGAATAAGGAAAAAACAGGTAAGAAAAACAGGTTTTAATAATTATAGTATCGTTAACGTTTTCATTATAAGGAGATTCTCGAGTTATTTCTCCTTATGGAATAATGACAGCAGCTACAACTATATCACCCAACTACATTTTAGGTTTAAAAAAAGAAAAGAAATCCTGACCGGATAAATTCATATATATATATATATATATATATATAATTTAGGTTCTACATTCAGCACTATCACTTGATAAGATACCAGAAGTGTTGAAACAAATGGCTATTTTTGTAATGATTTTATAACATTTTTATGTTATAATTTTTTCGATATATATATATATATATATATATATATATATATATATATATATGTCATCCACAGACAGACTGTTTCGCTGTATCACAGCTCCTCAGCGTGGGTAGACGTCCGATTGCTTCAAGCCGGGATCGAAATCCGACATCAATCAGATCTCTTACTTCTAGGCCATCGTAGCAAGGAAAGGGAGGGAATTGTAAGATTTTTCTCTATACGAAATACGCCAGCGGCTCATAGAACTCAATTCAATTTTACTTGAAAATGTTTCGGCACTACTTAAATCAACTTGTTTCCTCACAAAAAGGGGAAGAATTAGGAGATCCTCTCTTTATAAAGTACAGATATTATAAATAGGACCACCTTTTTAAAATGACAATGATTTTTCGGTTCCGACTAATGTCGTGGATAGAGGGAAGGTCTAATGAATGTTAATCGAGGGTGCAGCAGAAATACCTCCGACATAATAGTTTCCCACAATCATAGTTTTAAGTCCAGGGTCAACCTACAGGTCTTTATAATATTCTTAGTTCCGCCTTCCTTACAACAAACACTCTACATTCAGTGACCCTTGCGCCTTGTATTGAGTGAACTAAGAAAAGAAAAAATATTATGGGTAAAGGAAGGTATAACGAATGCTAATCAACAAAAATTGTTAAAAAAAAATTCGCCCCTGTTTCGTTACGAACGAACTCATTCAGCTGGACCCCCTTCTCATATGAGAAGGGGGTCTAGCTGGTACTTTGTTCCGAGGCCCAAGAACTAAGAGATCTCGCACCACTGAATATTGATTCTGACAGATAAATTGATTTTGATAGTGCTATTAGATATCAATCTGTCTTGATGAATTTGATAAAATCTACCGTTTTGTAGTTATCGACAGTAAAAGTTTCGAATTCATACGCGTCGTTGGCGGCAGCCATTACTCTCGTTGTTTGCATACATTCGTTGCAGAAAGCTAAACGCGGAAGACTACGGAAAGCTAAACGTGGAACTGATTTGTCTAAATCAGTCTCAAATACTGCGCACGAGAACTATTTACGTAGACATGCTCAGTTTGCGCAATGATACCAACACTGATAGCTATTCTGCAGCGAATGTATGCAATGCCAGTAATGGCTGCACGTGACGCGAATAAATCCAAACTTTCGCTGTCGATAACTCCAAAACGGTATATTTTATCAAATTTATCAAGCGAAAGTCGAATGGAGTATGTACAATTAAACATAAGTGTAAGTATTCTGGAAATTTTTAATGCGAACTGAGAGCGGGTGTTACACTGCAAATTACCCAATAACCCAAATAAGAGGTGGGTGCTAGATGAAGTGCAAAGGGAATTGGATTTTTTTCAAAAAATTAATTATCGTCGGGGTATTTAACATAATTGCCAACACACGTATTGAAGAAACAACGAACATTTTCAGCGAATGATTACGTGCAAGGCAGCGAACTAACTGATCGACCCTCGCATACATATATTCTTCATGCAATAATTGCTACAACAGCAGTGTCACAAACAAAATCCTCTTCTGGTGAGGCTTCATATGTTCGAGAATTCAGGCTACCCTCATAACCAGATCGTCAAAAAGTCACAGAAAAACCATATATATATATATATATTTATTAAAATTTATAACGTTGTTATTTTATAGATACAAGTATTTAAGCAAATGCTCTGTTTAAGATAAACAGTAATAAATAACAGACAAAAACATTTTCAAAAATGTCTGTACACGTATCCTCGGACCTTGTATTCTTAACATATATATATATATATATATATATATATATATATATATATATATATATATATATATATATATATATATATATATATATATATATATATATATATAATACTAATTAAATAATTGAATGTTCTTACCTCAAAGGAACAGCACTAACTTTGGAAAAAAAAATTTTCCTCCTCTATCGAAAAGATCTGCTGTCTCCGACTCAGAGATAGTAGCAGCCATTTTGTTTCCAGGCATAAATCAATATGGCTTCCGCTAAACAACGAAAAAAGAGAAACTTGAACAGCGAAAAATGGTTATCTAAATATATATGGGAGAAACCAGATTGCATTCTAATGTATGATCAGCCAGCTGACTGACAAGTGGACCCTTCCATCAGTTTCTTTAGTCGGTAAAGCAGCAACTGTTGTTCGAATTCTGCTCTCGATATAATATTTCTTTTTACTATTATCATAAAGTGGATGTGCAAATAGCGTAACTGATGTCGATGTGGAAAGTTACATCACCGAGCCGAGTTCAAATTCCGGACAAGTCTATCGTATTCACTTTCGTAAAGATGCCCGCAAAAATACTAACTTTTTGGACAATAAATGCCGATTGCTTCTTGTATGGAAACAGTTAATTTTATTTCAATTTACAATTAGATTTTTAGTATGTTATGTTTTTCTCTGTCCCTCTTGACTTCAATCTGTCCTGTGCGTATCAGATTTTCCAAACCTTCTCTCCTCATCATATTCCCTAGAAATTTCAGCTGTCTCTAATTGATGTGAAGTATAAGTTTCCTTTTTTGTTTCCATTTTCTCTAAAATTTCGACGTTTCTCACATAATCGATCCATGGTATCCTCAGTATCCTTCTGCAGAACCACATTTCTGTTGCTTCAAATCTCTTCTTCATCTGTAGGGAGATTGTCCAGCATTCACTGCCATACAAGAGACAGGTATCACGTAACAGTTCAGTAGTCTTTGCTTTGTTACGAACGATGATTTTCTGTTTCTAACAGACACAGGTAACCTGTATCTATGGTGGAATTCACACGAATCGGTTAAGCCGGCTCCGCCAAACGAACCCGCCACATCCGAACGAAAGCTGACCAAGCGTAAAGAGATCATATTCATTCGGAAATGAAAATCTATATTAGGATATTCAATGGAAATTTGAATCCAGAAGCGGAAATTTGGGATTCAGAAGCGCTCTACATGTAGATACATTTTTGTACAGTGCGATCCGGTTTGAATTCAGAGTTTCCTTCTCTTAGACTGGTTGCCACCCAAGGCTCAATTTGTACTGCTATTTTATTTATAGCTGTGGAGACAAGAGATAGGGTCATACCTTTCCAGTGGTATTAGAACGTAAGTGAATGTAATAAACTCGACTGGTATTCGAACTCGGCTCTCCTATTCTTTAATCCGAGTCGTTAACCATTACTCCACTGTGCCTCCACAAAAATGGGTAGCAATGTAACTCTAACAGAATGCAATGATTTAATGAAGCAACAGGTTTGAAAGTAACCTTCTATCCATATTAGATTGATTGATTTATTACGGCTTCTCAAAATTTCCTCTCTATATTAGAGTGGTAACATTGGGGTACAGTATTAATTTTCAACTCACAACTGATTTCAACTTGGAACTAATGATTAGGGCTAGGTGTAGGTGTAGGGTTTTTAAATCGATTTGAAATTAGTTCCGAGCTGAAATTAGTTCTGTCACTCGTAACATTTAGTGGATAAAAAAGACTAATTTCGTCAAGAACTGTTTCCAGAAAAAGATTTTATAAATTCCAACCCGCTGTAACACTAACTGTTTGGTCAATGAATGCCAAATGTTTCCTTATAAAGAAATGTCTTATATTACCAATGCCAAATAAATTAGAAGGAACGCCCTTTAACAGTAACGTTAACTGTTCGGTAAATGAATGTCGAATGTTTCCTTATAAGGAAACGTTATAGAAATTAGAAATTAGAAAGGACACCCTATAATAGTAAGGGTAACCGTTCGGTCAATGAATGCTGAATGTTTCCTTATATTGAAACGTATAATATTACCATTACCATAGGAATTACCAAGAAGGTTTTTTAACAGTAAAGCTAACTGTTCGGTTAATGAATGCCGTATGTTTCCTTACAAGGAAATGTTTAATATTACCATTACCATAGGAATTAGAAAGAACGTCCTTTAACAGTGACCCTGAGAAACTTAGTTTCTTGAAAAACTGTTTTAGGCGAAAGGACACATGGCACAGTGGTTAAAGGCGTTAGTTAGATCCAGTGACAGAACCCAAAAGAGTGGGAGTTCAATACCCGGTTAAGGCAGTGGAGAACATTCAGAGGGAAATTAACAGGAGATAACTGACATCCATTAAACATGACACGTGGAACTAGAACAGTCTACCCCAGTGAGCGAAATAAGGGTTCAGTTCGACATTCCAACCACCTGAAGAAGGCCGGAGCGTACAACGGCCAAATCGTTGTAAAAAATAGATAAGGACAATAGTCCAAATAATGTAAATAGTGTACATAATACTTCATCTCAGAAATATAGACAGATACTGAAGATTTTATAAATTTCAACTGACATTAATTCTAACTGTTCGGTGAATGAATGTCGAAAGTTTCCTGCATGGAAACGGTTTATTTTGCTATTAACATTACCATTCGTTTGAACGAATTTTATTTCACAAGATAGCTTTTATCTATATTGCAATAGTTGTCAGTGGGGTTACTTCTGATTATAATTCACCTTATAGCGGCTGATTTTTACCTGTACTATTACCTTTAACATCCAAGTTAATTAAATTTCACTCTAAAAAGATGCAAAGAATGCCTTAAATGTTCCAGCGTTGATGCATGTGATACGCAAATAGGAGAACAGTCGTAATTGTTATTCGAACGTTTGGCGCCATGAAAACTGGACTTAGCGACAGTTTTTTTGCATACGATGGAGCTACATGAGAAATTTATCACATCTTAGAAAAGTTTTCGTGTAAATTAACACTCCGATCTCTTGATAAGATATGATTACTTTATAAAAATCAATAACAAAAGAGTTATTAATTATCGACTAGTATTTCTTTCACGTTTATTTTAGCCGATTTCATCATAATTTCAGGCTGCCATACATGGTCATTAGTGTTGTGGAGTTATTTCGCAGTGGTGGCTTGTATTTGTACTAAGTCGGTCCTAAAATAGGTTCGACGTACAAAACGTTAGGAACTTGGTATTACGCAGAGAAATCTTGTTGTGGTCGCTGATACTGTCGTCCGACTGAGCGACTGACCCGTTACACTTACTACTCCTACTTATTATAGGTGGGAGAGTCTATTAACAATAGAATATGTGTGTTCCACCATAACAATTAGTAAACAAGTATGTTTTTAGTATTTCATTTCTAATATTTTTTCAGTATTTCTGTTGTTTTGCATACCTCTCTGCGTTGTAGTAGTAGTCATAGTACAGTTCTCTATGTCTTGAATAGCATCCGGGTATCAAACCCGGATGCATAGCCATTCCATGCTTGCCAGTTGTTCCCTATTTATACTTTTTTTATTTTATTTAAGCGTTTCCCGCCAAGCAAGGCGTGAAGCCACTAGGACGCAAGGGGTTACAGAAGATTTGGAGCAAGATCAGATAGGAGTGATAGAGGAAAGGATGAGGAGAAGGATAGTGGATAGACCAAGGCAACTGGAGATGTCGATTGACATTTGAATAGTTGGAGATTATAGCTCTCAGGGAAACAAGAATAGGCGAGAGGTGCGAGATAGGAAGCTATTGGAGTAGAAGAGACGGCTACATTTAATAGTTTCAACAGTGAAAGGATGAGAGCGGGATGCCAGCCTCGTAGGGTGCTTGAATTCATGAAGTCTGGGAACCAGCGAATGCAGCTCCTCGGAGCAATTACCATGAAAATATTTGTAAAAAAGACAGAGAGGCGACGGCGTGTCTGTGAGAGAGCGACTGTAGACGAGATGCCAGAGCAGGGCCAATTATATTGCATATCCGCCTCTGGATCTTATCAAGAACCCCGATGCAAACAGAAGGGGCTCCAGACCATATATGACAGCAATACTCCATGCAAGGGCGAATTGTTGATTTGTAGATCTGAAGGATCGATTCCGGGGAGAAAAATTTCCTGGCGCGGCACAGGGAGCCAACTTTCCTTGCGGTGGACGAAGCAATTGACTCAATGTATTTGTTCCATCCCAGGTCAGCAGTCAACGTTAGACCGAGCAGCCGCAGAGAGTTACTCTCGAGAAGTTGAGCGTCAGACATTCTAATGGGAGTCAGGGAAGGATTTCTGTGGTGATTAATAGAAAGCAGTTTTGTTTTTGAGGCATTAAAGTTGTCTATCTAATTTGCATACGATACTACAATTTCATTTAATTTTTTTTCGTATTTTATTCCTAAATATTTATTAGTATTTCATTTCGTTTCTGATGATGACCAGATGGTAATTGATAGAAACGTTGTGTCTATAGCATCTATATCAACCAAAATGAGGAAGGTAATTCGAAATAATACAAGGATATTAACAATGACTTATCTCAAAAATGAAATACTAAATTATGAAAAGTGGTACGAACCCGCCATCAGGACCAAATGTCAAAATCATGACACTGAATAAAAATGCTTCAAAAAAATAAAACGCACTATTAATGTCCTGCGAGGCTGTTGCATAGTGGACATAGGAGTTGGTTATATATGTGTTACCGTCATCTGGTGGTCCTGAGTTCAATCCATGGATCAGGTAGTGAAACAAATATTCAACAGAAACGAACAGTAATTTCTCTCTCTTTATGTGCTATGTCCCCTCAGAATGAAGGCGATCATGGCTCTCCACAACTTCATGTCCCTTTTAGCTCTTTGTAAATTTTGTCTTTCTGTTATTTCTTATAAAACCTGTTCCGTCATCCATTTACGGAAGCTCACTAAGTATGTAAAGTGTTGTTTTCTTCCACCTCTTTTGCTTTCAATCCGTCCTGTGAGTATCAGATTCTCCAAGCTATACTTCCTCATTATATGCTTTAGAAACCTCAACTGATCCTTTCTAATGTTAAACATAAGTTTCCATTTTGTTTCCCTTATCTCTAAAACATCGGAGATACCAAAATGAAACAAGTGCGGAAAATTAAACTTCTGGGAATTGTTTTAATAGAGGACGGAAAGTGTGACACTGAAATCCGGAGATGCATTGGGATAGCGAAAGATGCCTTCATAAAGTTAAGCAAAGGACTAGAAATAGAAAAAATACGCTAAAACAAAGAAAAGAGTACTAAACTGCTACGTGATATCTGTCCTCCTGTATAGCAGTGAGTGTTGAACGATCTCCTCAAGGATGAAGAGGAACTTGAAACAACAGAAATGTGATTCTACAGAAGGATGCTGAGGATACCATGGATCGAGCATGTGAGCAACGACGAAGTTTTGGAGAAAATTGAAACAAAAAGGAAACTAATACTTAACATCTGGAAAAGACGGATGATGCTTCTGGGGCAAATGACGAGAAAGGAGGGCATGGAGAGCAAGAAGGACACAGGAAAGCAACGCATAACATGCTTGGCGAGCTGGGGTAAATAGAGGCGGAACAGGGGTTAGAAGAAATAACAGACAGAGTTTTTTAAGAGCTACCAGGGTCAGGTTGTTGTGAAGAGCAATGACCGCCTACGTCTTGAGGGCTCTCAGGACATAAAAAGAAGAGGAAAACTGTTTGAAGACTATCAGTTTCATGCCTCAAGTGATCTTCAGTGGCCTGAAGATTACATTCAAGCATGAACCTGAGAGACAGTATACAGTGTTGATACAGCCCTCAGTTCTCATTCTGAGCCGTTATCCATCACACAACACTATAGATAATTCTTACTATTTTCTTACTAGTTTTACACGGTCTAATTATCTTTGCTTTGTTGCATAGATAATTTGTAATGTTTTTTTAACACATCACATATTTTTGACAATAACGGTATTTTTTATTTCTTTCAGAACTGCTCACAAGACTGAACGGTTATAAAATTGCGACGATTTGTTTGGCTACAATTCTGGGAATTTTCTTTTTAATACTTTTGATCTACTTCTCGGCTAAGTAAGTAAATACTTTCAAAGATCTACATACGATACATCGTTAAAGATTCAGTTAAAATGATCAGCTCCCTGTACCGCTTCAGTAAGTACCTGACTCCTCATGCTGCCCTCTACATTTATAAGAAACAGATCCGGCCAAAAATGGAGTCTTTTCTTTTTATGGGCTATATTCTTTTAGGACGTAGGCGATCATGGCTCTCCATCTCCCTATGTCTCTTGCGGCTCTTAACAAATTCCGTCCCTCTGTTTCCTCCCCACATACCACGTTCTGTCATCAAATTGCTTAAGTCCTCCAGACGTATCACGCGTTGTTTTCTCTTGTCTCTCTTTCATTCTATTCGACCCATGAGTATCAGATTCTCCAAACCCTCCTTCCTCATTATGTTTCACAGAAACTTCAGCTGCCTCTTTCTGATATTAAGTATAAGCCTCCTTGTTTGCATCCTCTCTAAGACCTCATCGTTGCTCACACGCTCGGTCCATGATATCCTTAGCATCCTTCTGTAGAAAAATAATAGAGTACTGTTGCTATATTTGGTCAGAAACTGCCTAATCCTCACTTTCCAGTCTTGATTGAGTTCAAAAGCGTCGCTGAGACCTTGTTGGAGAAGTAATTATTTTCTACATTCCAACCTCTCTCTCTCTCTCACAGGCAGGATATGGCGAGCCTCTTACTACTCTATCACTACTGCCATAGAAAGTGCCCGGGCAAACTGCATCTCCTGGTTCCACCAGGTCTGACCTTCACGGCTAGGGTCCTCCATACTACTTAACTAGTAACAAACCACCCCCATTCCCTCCGTATTTCATCCCATCCTGGGTATGACCATAAACTACACCCACGTCCTGGGTAAGACGATAAACTACATCCAACAGCAAGGCCTCTGATCAGGAGGTTTTGAGGAGCGTGGAACCACCTCTTAATTGCTGGTATTCCCAGGTCCACCCTAACCCGGGGTGGTAGCACCTGTTAGGATCCCAGCTATGGGCAAATAGTTAACACCCAAACTGTGGTCAAAACACTATGAAAGTATGAAAAATAAGTTTTAATACCAGAAATACTTAGTAAAAAATTATTACCAACAATACATTATTACCAGCAATACATTTTTGAAAAAAAAATATTACCAGCAATAAAAATGCTGTCGGCATTAAATAAACCATTGAGGTTGATATGCTGTAAAATAAACCAAACCAAACGAAATCCGTATTCCATCGGCAAGAAATAAGTTCCACTCAGACAACTTCTTCCCCGGAATCAGTGTCCTATGGATGTTTCCCCAATCACTACAATGTCAACCAATTCATGTCTAGAATCAATTGTTATCTTCCCCTCCTATCCATATAAACTACCACTTAATGTAATACTCTACCCTGAGTTGCCCCCGGGACCTGTACAGGGTGAACTTTGCTGTAAGAAAAAAAAAAAAGAAAAAAAAAAAAAAAAGAAAGGAAAACTCACGACGAACTTAGTCATTGTCGATTGACCTGAAAACTGCTAAATACCAAGTCTACCCATCCCTGATGAGGGTTGGCGAACTTTGGTTTTTATTGATTCGTGACGAAAAAGAAAACAACATTTTTGAATATATTATCTGTTCTATTTTACACCAGGCTTCTGTAAAAGAATGGATAAAAGCAACAAAAGAGATTTAAAGGGTTTAACTAAATGAATAAAAAAAATAATAGTAAAGGATTAATGAAATTCAAAATTTATTTGAAATCTAAAATTTACTAAATTTTTTTTTTTAAATCTGAAATTCATTTGAAATTTATCTGAAAACTAAAATTTATCTAAAACTTATCTGAAATCTAAAATTTATTTGAAATGTGAAATTTATTTGAAATCCAAAATTTATTTGAAATTTATTCGAAATTTTATTTGAAATTTGAAATTCATTTAAAATTTATTTGGAATTTTAGATTTCAAATAAATTTTAACTGACAAGTTAAAATTTACTTGAAATCTAAAATTTATTTGAAACTTAAAATTTTTTTGAAATTTAAAATTTATCTTAAATTTAAAATTTATTTAAAATTTATTTGAAATATAAAGTTTATTTGAAATCCATTATTTATTTGAAATTTAAAATTTACTTGAAATCTAAAATTTATTTGAAATTTAGAAATTTATTAGAAATCTTTTTTGGAATTTGAAATTTATTTAAAATTTATTTGAAATTTAAAATTTATTTGTAAGTCAAAATTTATTTGAAATTTAAAATTTATTTGAAATCTTAAATTTATTTGAAATCTAAAATTTATTTGAAACCTAAAATTTATTTTAAATTTAAAATTTATTTTAAATCTAAAATTTATTTGGAACCTAAAATTTATTTTAAATTTTAAATTTATTTTAAATCTAAAATTTATTTGAAACCTAAAACTTATTTTAAATTTAAAATTTAGTTGAATGTGAGTCAGATTCAACATAAACTGCAAGAAGACAGAATGAATGATTGTTAGCAAAAGGATGATTCCAAAGTGTGAATTGCATATTGTTGTTTCACAGGGAACGGGGGTGCTGAAATATTTGAGATAACGTCGTTGATTGGTTAATAAATGCGAATGTGAAAATTCAAATCTGGAGTCTACTTAGTGCACAAAAATGTGTCAATTTCTTTGTGAGCCGATATTGGTATAAAATTGAGATTTTAGAGATATTACTTTAATCTTTTGAATTTTTTAACAATTTTTAAATGGAGTTTCACGCATACATATACACACATACATACACACACACACACACACACACACACACACATATATATATATATATATATATATATATATATATATATATATATATTATGAAATGGACAAAGTCCGACAATTATTTTTAAGACATTTTTATGTTTACACATTCTTTTTATAGATACAAATATTTAAGTAAATGCTCTGTTTATAATAAATAGTATTAGACAACATTTAAGGGCCTGAATGTCCGAGAAATTTTCATAGAAAATATTCGTTCTCCGACAGGATTCGAACCTGTATCCTATACAGAACCGTCGTTTAGCCTGACGTGTTCTTAATCATGGAAGATTGAAGTTTAAACGCAGTAAATTCGACCTTGCTAATCGGACGATTTTATGTGGCTCGATCGGTTAAGAGCTCGTTCGGCTATATGACGGTCCTGTATAGGGTACAGGTTCGAATCCTGTCGGAGAACGAATATCTTCCATGAAAATTTTGCGGACATTAAGGCCCTTAAATGTTGTCTAATACTGTTTATTATAAACAGAGCATTTACTTAAATATTTGTATTTGTTATTTTACCACTTTGCGGCAATGTTATTGTTGTTTATTTACCACTTTACGGTAATGTTCTGCTTTGTTACCCTATTATTTCTTATTCATTTTTCTTCTGGTTCTAACATGCCCCCCCTTTTATGGCTTTAATGATTATATTTATAAATAAACGGCTTCTGAGACACGTTTGATAGATTAAGAAGTTGCATATTTTTGAGGTCTGGTGAAATGAATAGCGGCTCGGTGTTGAGAACTCGGAGTGCCGAGTTCGAATTTACTCGCAAAATACCATTTGAGAAAGATGCAAATGCACCCCACCAGCTATGAATAAGTGGTTGCTTATTTATTTCCGGAGCTTAAGAGCCGGTGTTCGAATCCCGGTAAAAAACAAGATTTCTAATACTAGTTTCTCAAGATATTTTATTTATATGATTGACGCAACACAATCTGCAAACCCCTATTTAACATTGTGCCGTGTTAATCTTAGTGATAATAAATGTATTTATCCAGGTTTGATTGCTGTTACAGTCCTAGTTATGACTTTAAACGGTAGCAAAGCTTCTGATCGGGAGATTGGAGGTTGTGAGGACCGTAGAACCACCTCTTAGTTGCTGTTATTTCCGGGGTGGTAGCGCCCGTTAGGCTCCCAGTCTTGGGTAAATTGTTAAACCCCAAACAGATATCAAAACACTGGGAAAGTTTAAACAATATGTTGTTATAGTAAAAATACCAGCAACACACTTTTACAAAAAAAAAAAAAAATTACCAACAATATATTTTTATAGTAAAATGACCAACAATACATTTTTACAGAAAAATGAAAATCAATACATTTTATAATAAAATTGAAAACATGGCGTAGATTATCAAAGAAAATGTAATCTGTTATGCTTAATCAACATTTCTTGTAAAAAGAAACCAGGTTTCGCTCTTCGTTTGGTTTTGTAAGATTATTTGGTTTAAAAAATGCACATAAGTCATTATATTTTGTAAGATTATTTGGTTTAAAAAATGCACATAAGTCATTATATTTTGTGAGATTGTTATATTTTATAAAATTATTTGGTTTAAAAAATGCACATAAGTCATTATATTTTGTAAAATTATTTGGTTTAAAAAATGCACATATATCATTATATTTTGTAAGATTATTTGGTTTAAAAAATGCACATAAGTCATTATATTTTGTAATATTGTTATATTTTATAAAATTATTTGGTTTAAAAAATGCACATAAATCATTATATTTTGTAAAATTATTTGGTTTAAAAAATGCACATATATCATTATATTTTGTAAAATTATTTGGTTTAAAAATGCCCATGTCATTATATTTTGTAAGATTATTCGGTTTAAAAAATGCACATAAGTCATTATATTATGATCATGAAATAATGTCGTTCTCTTGAATTAATTATAAAGTTTGAATTTTCATACTGACAATTCGGTATTAAATAACCCATAGAGGTGTTGATATGCCGCTAAATAAAAACAACCAAACCAATCATTTGAATTTATTTTAGTCAATATTTTTATTCATTACTTTCTTTATAAAATTTTTGACAATCTTGGATCTTCATGAACACAAAAAATGAATTAAAAGGATATTTTCCCTTGACACGGCTATTATTTTAACTACCTTCACTCCTTCGGCAATAATTATTGTTTCCAAAAGCGATGATTAGAATTGTAATATAACCTAAATATATGATGAAAGTGAAGTTATATATTTTTTTTGGTTTTTAAGAATTTACAACAAAAACATTAAACACCATTATATTGTTTACTAGCAGTAGAGCCCGGCGTTGCCCGGGGATGTAACAGTAAGAGATAGATCAAGTATCGACCATCATAAAGACTGAAAAATAAAATTGACAAAGATTATTGTTTAAGGTTGACGGACACGCATGTCTTAATTAGTTTTTTTTTTTACGAATTGGTCAAACCCAAACTCAAACAAAAACATTGTTTTCAATCGTTATGAGTCTATCGATTGAATAGAATTTTATTATAAACAATTGTCTTGTAAATGAAATTATTAAAGCATTCTGAATGTAGAAATAAAGAAAAAAGTGTGCAAGACAATAAGAAACACTACCTGTAAAAAAAAAGTGAAGTTTTGTTGAAATCGGCTGAAAAATGTAGGAAATCCGATCCCATATATAAACGAACACACAAACAAACAACCTGGGTTTTATAATAAGTATAACTCGATATGAGTTGCCCCCCTTTCATTTTGGCGAGTGATGCCTCTTAATCGTGCTTTCAAATTGATTTTGTGCAAAAACAATTGTGTTTTTCCAATTTTTGGCGCTGTCGGAACCACTGCAAGGTAATTTTACGTAGTCCTGTGAAGTTTTGTTGAAATCGGTTGAAAAATGTAGGAAATCCGATCCAATATATAAACGTACAAACACACACACACAACCTGGGTTTTATAATAAGTATGATTTAGAAGAATTTTATCTTTAGAACACTTTAAAATCTAATGCAATGCTATATTTATGATTTACCAATTTATTTATAAAGAAATAAATATGAAAACAATTTTTTATTCATAAATTTATAAACATTTATTAAATTGTTAAAATATGCGAACCAACTATATGTAAATCCTTATTATTTACCATTTTATAAAGTTTGAATCATTTGGCAATTAGTCAATGTTTTGCTAAGCATTCCAATAAACACTTTACCAAATAGTTAAAAAAACAATCTAATAAACAGTGTTTATTAATTTTTTTTTTCGAAGGAGTGAAGGTAGTTAAAATAATAGCGGCGTCAATGGAAAAACCATCCTTTTGACACGTTTTTTTCGGGCACGAAGATTAAAGGTCGCCAAAATTTTTCACTATTTTTTTGGAAATACAACCAATACATAAATGAAAACGATAATATTTTCAAAAAGTCGATTATTTATTTATCATCTTTATTTTTTTATCGACAGGAGTAAAACCGGTCGTGGAGAGATCACCCGCCCACCAAGTACCCCGGTAAGTAGCGATATTAGAGTTTTCTCCTTGTGACGGCTTCAGGAATATTAGAGCGGTGTTTAGTGTTCTGCAGTGTAATACGTAGAGATTCAAGACGTGTTCTCTCAAAAATTGTAAGGCCTTTTATGCATATACTACTTTGCTTGACATGATTGGAAGCCACTTCCCCAAAGGATGGCAGAGGAATGTTGGCAAAGTTGACATGCGACAACAGAGTTAATTGCACAGATACAAATCCTAGTGTACCCCCATATAAAATATAACAAAACTTTCTTTGTTCTTCTCTTCTGTGCCTTGGCGTGGGCGAACATGTATATCTAAAGCTTTCTATCCTTTGTAGCTCTAAATAACGCCTGTTTCTTTATCCACCATCCCGGGTATATGGTTGGACGAGTCACAAGATCGTTTTAACGTAGGGAACGGCATACGTATACTTATGCTTATGGATCGGTATTTATCGACCCACTCACGAGGATTGAATATGGCACAAGGCCGGTTTAATGTGAGTATCTCCGAGCCCGTAGGCTCGGCCAAAAATATAGCCTTTGAACCCGCCTAGACGGGTTCAGGCCCTGTCTACCTCCCCGGACGAAACCTTGCCCTTCGGCAAAGCTTCGTCCGGGTTCCTCTCTGCGTTAGCAGAGAGTTCGACAGACGTCGCTTACAGTCAAAGACTGTATCACGACTCAGCTAGACACGGAGGTCTGGCTCTAATGCTTATGGATCACGGGCAAAAATTGTTTTTTGCCCAGCCGCCGCGACCACTGTCACGCTAGTATTGGTATTACACCGACTCACTTCTTTAGTGCAATGAGGGAGGTGCTGCTGCAGGGTTGGAATCCCCGGAGCTAAGCAACTTCTTCCATCTAAAATGAGGAGAAACAGCTCTATTAATCCTCCCATTCCCTGCCCGTATTACATAAAGTCGTTATGTAGTTTATTGGCTGCTTCACTGTGCTCCTCTTGCCTTCAGTATGTATTCTGAGTGTTAAATTCTCCAAGCCTTCTTTCCTCATCATGTGTCCCAGAAATCTCAAGTGTCTCATTTTGATTGTATCGGATTCCTTACAGTTCCTATTTTTCTTAAAAACTCCTTGTTACTCACGTAACATAGTTTTTTGACCATAGTTTCTTCAGCATCCATCTGTAGCGGTATTTCTCAACTGGGGTCCATTTGGATCCCCGGGGTCTGTGTAACATTACTAGCGGTTTATTTTAAAATGATTTATTATAAACTTAGTAAAATATAAAATAAGCTTTTTTTTTTCATCGAATGCTTACAGGGGCCCACAAAAAAAAATTAAGAGTAAAAGTGGTCGTGTTTTTTGTTTTTTTTTAAAGTTTGAGAACCACTGATGTACAGGAATACATCTCTGTAGCTTCAAGTCTAATTTTTATCTGTGAGAAAATTGTGCAGGATTTACTTAGCTTTCAGTTTTCTTTTCTATTTTCAGCAAAAAAACGTTGTGCCAAAAGGGAGGTTTTTTTTCCTTGACACTGCTATTACTACATAGTGGGCAATTATTTTTTTACCAGTGCTCATATTGCAATTTTGGCTGTTATCATTGCAAATTTTACCAGAGCTCATATTGCAGGACCCAAAGAGTGTGAGTTCAATCCCTGGTTAAGGCGGTGGAGAACTTGGAGAGGGGGAATTAACAGGAGATAACTGATAACTGACATCCATTAGACATGGTACGTGGAACTAGAACAGTCTACCCCAGTGAGCGAGATAAAGGGTTCAGTTCGACATTCCAACCATCTGAAGAAGGCCAGAGTGTACAACAGCCAAAATGTTGTAATAAATATGGCGACAAAGACGAGGACAATAGTCCGAATAATGTAAATAGTGTACATAATACCTTATCTCAGAAATATAGACAGATACTGAATAGTGGGTTCCTAAGTATTTTCAAGAAATTAAATATTCAACTTCTATTGAACTGGAATATTAAAAAATAACATCTTATACTGTAGTGAACGAGATAATCAAGTACCCCGGAAAAAAGTTCGTGTTTTGTGTGCGATCTGCCGGGGAGGGATTGCCAAAAAGTAGTCAGCAAAACTCTTATAGCGACTTACCTCGTCAACCCAAGCGACAGCGCGTCGCGTGTATTCTGTGACGAAAAAGAAACAAGTCCGTCGCAGGAGTCGCTATAAGAGTATATTAATATGCAAATTACGGAGCATCCTATCCCGGCTGTCGACGAATGGAAAAAATAGGTTCTGCCGATAAAAGCAGTTGGTGTTGTCGACTCGGCGAAGGAAAAATCGGGCAGTTTTGGCTACGACATTCGTGAGTTATTTTCCTGACGCGTTACAAGTGATTTTCTTTCTTTGTGTTGTGAAAGCCACAAATTTGCTTTGAGAACGCTTACTCTTCCATTACTTTGCAAGATTCACGTGAACTCAGTGCAATAACTCCACATTTCCGTCAATTTTAGCACATTCCCATTAAGTGTGTAGCATCTGTGATTTTTATTGAGTACACCTTCTTTAGCATACCCCATAAAAAGAAGTCAATTCTTTCTTCTTTCGACAAAAGTATGTTCAATCTGTGGAGGCGACAAATTTCCTGTATCCTGACTTTAGGGACATCCTTTATACTCCCTCGGTAAATAGTATTGTTTTAAAATATTTTTAGAATTTTAATAAAACCTGAAAATATAAAACTGGATTTATTCTTGTCTTTTCTTGGGTATTGACAACATAAGTATCAAACATTATTCTTGCAAATAAACAGTCAAATAATTAAATAGTGTTTAACATTTTTGTTATCAGTTCTCGAGAGAAAGAAAAAAAAAGGATGAGTCCAGATGCTCGTAAGCTATTTTAGTGCCAGTGAAAGTAACAACCGGAAAAAAATGTCTTTTCTCAAAATCTATAATGATAGTATTTGTTATGTGTTTAAATTTTCTTGTTTCTTTTGTTCACAGACATTTTTATAACTTTATGAATAAAAAAATTTGATTTGCTCGTTACTTCTTTATAATATCGTAAATATATATATATTTACTATTGTTCACCCAATACAAGGCACAAGAGCCACTCAAGGTAGATGGTTTTTGTAAACGCGTACAGGGAGAGGCGAGTGGTGCAGATAGTATAAATACATGTAGGAAAGATAACACTTGATGTAGAACCTAAGAAGTTACGATTGAAGAAGCATTCTCTGGGGAGTTTGTTTCACAGTACCACAGTTTTTGGGAAGAAGCTGTTTGTGATTACTATTGTTCATCCAATACAAGGAAAAAAAAAAGGATGAGTCCAAATGCTCGTAACCTATTTCTTTTAATAATAATTTAAAAATAATTCAGCAGATGAGGTTATTTTATGGTAAATGTATTTTTGGCGATTTACTCTGTTTCTGTCGTTCGATACTGTGCGTCTGAAAAATGACGCTTTATGGCAGTCACCATAGCTTATCGACCTGGGAAGTTCAAATAATTTTAAGCCCAAGCCCCAGGAGGCTTTTCTTCTAGGCAGTACCGTTCCTTGGTGAGTGGGTCTGGGTTTATTGTCCGGTGCCTAAAGCAACCACAAAGGGGAACTACCGAGTGGATTGAACAATGTTTATACGGTATTGCCGTTAAGCTCACTTTAAACTTCGGCCTTGTGTCACATTCGGTAGCGACGTGGACGCGCTGAACAAAAAAAAAAAAAAAAAAAAAAAAAAAAACGCCCCTCGGCCTTTTGGCTGGGATCAAAGTGTAGTATCTGCCATCGAATACACTATATTTCATCTCTCAGTTGTGTCTCATGCTATGAAGGCGTTGAGTCCACAAGAGTCACCTTGTTCCACCAGCTCTCACAGTCTTGTCAGAGCGTCGGAACACACTCCAGTGCTTGATTAATAAACTGGAGGTCCTGGCGCGTGACGTCCTTCTAGCGGTCGCTTGGCCTGCCGTGAGGTCGTCTCCAGTCAGTAGATGGCGCGTCGAACTGGTAGATGATTGTTGAGGTGGTTATCAGCCCGTCGCACGACGTAACCGAGCCAATGAACATGGCGCTAAGCGATGATACGGAGGATGTTTGGCAGAAGATCGGACCGGTGCATCCCCCCCCACACACACACACACACACACACACTGAGGGCGGAGCATGGACATAAGAGACGAGAGTTTTGCTGAGGTGCATCGAACTGGTAGATGACTCTGGTAGAGTAGTCAACATCATTTAACACATCCAGATCTCGCCTATGGCTCCTTGAAGCCGTTCGGGATGACGCCTGCCATACCTCGGGTAACAGCATCGACCAAACTATTTTGGTAACCAGTCGGGGTTTTCCGGAGTAGGGAACGACAATCACATCAGCCCACCCCTTCTACGTATACGCCAATACAAAAACACGTTCATTGAATTTAATCATTAATGGACAAATTTTCTTTTTATATTTCTAGCCTGAAGATGTAGAAAACGTATCTGAACCTGAGGTAAGAACTATATATTCTTTTATGCCCATTTGTGAGTAATAATAATTAATTAATAAATTTCATAGTTTTCTTATTTTAATATTCTGATTAATCTTAATCCATAACTCTTAAGTTAATGATTGAGTAAGCTCATGGTGAGTTCTTCAACGATAAAATTTCCCTAGAAATTCCCCTATCACATCATTAAATATTTGAGCTTAACTTCAACAAAATATTGTAGTAAAAATGTGTTGAAACTTGACTAATGCATGGAATAATAATGCAACACAAAAGGTACTTAGAACAAAATGTATTGAAACAAGAAAGTGTACACAATATTTACATATAGTCTTTTGTATATTCCTGGTAAGACCGTTCCTGGAGAATGTGTTGACTGAGTCGCAGTCGGGCAGAGTCTCTGGTTGAATCTCTTGATTCCTCCCTCTCTTCCCGGTACCAACCATATTTATATGGTCGGTACTCCACTATGCAAATTAGGTGAATCCTACCACAACACAATGAAAAATATGAATGCTTTTGGTTATTTTAAGAATTAGATACAAATGAAATGATTTGAAAATGGCAACGTTTTCCATTTCACTGGGACAGCCGTTAAACATTTCTATTTTCCCTTCCTTTATTCTTTCTTTCATTTCCAAATAGCGTCTTTTCTCCTCTTTCCACGTGATCAAAACTGAATTGTCCATTATTTATGATGTATTGACAGGAGACTAACTTCATTCATTCATCATTGATTCATTTCTTTCTTTCATTCTGTAGAAGACCGTATGTCAGAGTTACCATTATGTAGAGTTTCGCACGTCGGCGATGTTGTTGAGTATAAGTAAATGAGTACATGTGAATTAAGATTTTCCTGCCAGCCGGTCCAACTACATGAGAAAGTTGGACTTTAATAAAGCCCAAAGAAGGCAAAGAAAAACAAACAAACACAAGACCGATAAATATATGTCAACAAATATATGTATATATAAATAAAAAGAAAGAACACTAAGATATATAATCCGGTGTCCTTGTAGATATTTTTATTTTTACAAAATAGTGCTCATATTGAAACATGGTTACAACTGTGTAGCGAAAAAAAACATTTTAAATCAATTAATTCATAATAAATGTAAACAAATATATGTATTAATAACAACAAGAAAGGTACAAGTTACATGGACAGTTACATTGACAGAGTGTGTGTGGTGAATATTATACGTGTGTGTGTGTGTTGTGTTGTGGTGAGTGTTCGTACGTACGTGTATTGTGCTTAAAATGTGTTCCCAGCATTTGGGAAACGCTGTCTCTGTGAGCGTTCACATCTGCGAGGTGGTAAGGCTGAAAGCCTGAGGAAAAAGAGGAGGAGGCGAAGGGTCAGCGACTATTTATAGCCAGGGAAGAGAGACCCCTGGTGAAAGGGTTAACGAACTAAAGGAGGAGTTAACTCCGACAATTCCTTTCATTCATTTTCTCACTGAAATCAAATAGTGTCTTTTCCTCTCTTGCCATGCGATCAAAACGGAATAATCCATTATTTATAACGTATTGACAGGAGGCATTAAAAACTCACTTACTTACTTTGAAACCAGATAATGTTTCTTTCCTCTCTCCACGCAATCAAAACGGATTAGTCCATTATTTATGAGGGTGTGCGTAACGATCGTGAAAACTCACGAAGGTGGGTCGAGCACAATTATAATAGGATTCTTACACGCAAAACTGCTATCCCAAATTATTACGGATCTTGCTAATTATCGCCATTTTGTTTATCAGAAAGTTATCAACTGTCATAAACCGTCACATTTAATCAATTTAATTCGAACGATTCTTATATGACATAATTTTAATATTTTTGTCTTATTTTACAGGAACCACAAGGTGTTAGATTAAGTTCTTACTTTCCATATGTCAACAATGACCGGGCGAAAGTCGAATTAAATGAAGATGATGACGTCGAGGGCACGAAAGTCAGTACATTCTTGACAAAGAAAAAATCCTTTGATGCAGCCGGCTCTCAAGAGAAAATACTCCACACAAGTGAGCTTTGATGTTTAAGTGGAAAACTGGGTCGACACTAGGACTTCAATGAGCATTCGAAAAATACATATATGTATGAAATGACATTTACACTCTTATACATATATTAAACACACAGACACATACACACACAAATATATGTAAATACGCCCACATAATAAATGTCCAGGGTCATTGAAAAGTAACTCCCTCTTTTATGTATGATGGACTCTCCTATCTAACTATAATTTGTATAAGACGGGAGAGTCCATCATACATAAAATAGGGAAATAATTTTCCATCACCTTGTATATATAAAATGTATATATATATATATGTATGATATAAAATACATTTAATACACTAAGTGTGTAAATGAATGACATAATGGAAAAAGAATTCTTAGCGATTATTTCTGATAATGATTTTCTTCTCTCTCTCTCTCCCTCACACACACACACACACACACACACACACACATATATATATATATATATATATGAGAGACAGTGAAAAAGCTTTCAGACAACGAATTTCGATGACGTAATATGTGTTGACATTTTTTAGCATAAGAGGAAGCAATAAATTAAATTATCTTATTAAATTCGATAGATAGATAGATAGATAGATAGATAGATAGATAGATAGATAGAAACAGAATGAGATAGATAATGAATATAGATAGATAGATAGATATAAACAGAATGAGATAGATAGATATAGATATAAACAGAATGAGATAGATAGATAGATAGATAGATAGATAGATAGAAACAGAATGAGATAGATAATGGATATAGATAGTTAGATATGAACAAAATGAGATAGATAATGATATGGATAAATATGAACAGCATTAGATAGATACATACATACATACATACATACATACATACATACATACATACATAAATATACATATTATAGTTGTATGATTTTCATGTCTTTATAATGGTCATGTAATAGTTATAAGCTTTTAAATACGGTTGTTTTAAAAAAATCTGGATCTCATCTGATCAACGCTTATATTGTATATTGATCCAACATTTAAATATATTGTTATAATTATAATTTAATATTGGGGTATAAATGCAAAAAATAGTATGTGGGTTAGAAAATAACGTAAAATAAAATAAAAGTAAAAAAAAAAAAAACGTTAAAATTATAAAATCCGTTAAAATTAAAATAATCAAGGAGTCCAAGGGAGGCAACTTTACGCATACAAGTGTCAGAGAGAAGAAGAGAAAGAGAAAGTCAAGAAATAAAACAAAAAAGAAAAAGAGAGAACTAAAAAGTAAAGAGAAAGAAGAGGAAAGATAGAATTAAAGGTAGATTAAGAATAAGTATAAAAATAGATTTAACATGAAATAAAATAGAAATAAAAAAAAGCATAAAAAAATTTGTCGGTACGGTTGGTTTCAAAATCTATGTTTACGCTTGAGCAACACACAAAAAATTAAATTAACATTTATTTGCAAATTTGTATATGAACGTAATCGCACGCATATACGGTTGCTCATACTTCTTTATTTAATTTATATATATATATATATATATATATATATATATATATATATATATATATATATATATATATATATGCAACATCTTGTTCAACATCTCTATGCTTAGTTAATCACTATACCTTTTTAATGGGTAGTTCGACACGGTGTAATGGTTAGCAATATTGTCCCGTTAAATCAATTACTACTGAGTAGGGAATTCAATAGTCGCTGGGTGCCCCGTAATTTCGGCCTTGTGCCACCATTAAACTACGTAAATCGCTATATATTTTATTTCTTATGTCGCAATATTGATGCCTTTCTGTAAAAAAATTAAAAAATGGTCTATTACAGACCCATGAGGATTTTACAAGAATATAATTGTACTTAAATATATTAAATAAACATTATGTGTTTATTTTAATATAAAAAAACCTCGTCTCGTTTTATTTGTTCATTTATTTCTCTTCCATACCACAAACTTTCAGATGTAAATATACTTTTGTGTCCGCTCAGTGGTTGACGTCTCTGTCGGATTTTGACGTTTTGAACTACTACGCTATAAAAAGTTCCGAAGGTCAGAACTCCTGTTCTTTTATTGTCCTTACTCCTCATTGAAGTCTTCTGATTCTGTTCCACTTCCAGTAACCCCTTGCCCCTTAATGACATTATTGCCATCTTCTGTCTTTCTGAAACCTGTTCCTTTATTGTCCTTTTCCTCGCTTCTCCTCAATAAAGTCTTCTCTTTCTCTTTCACTCCCAGTAACCCATTGCGTCTTAGTGGCACTATCGTCATCTTCCGTCTTTCTGAAACCTGTTCCTTTATTGTCCTTTTCCTCGCTTCTCCTCAATAATGTCTTCTCTTTCTCTTTCACTCCCAGTAAACCCCTGTCATTATCGCCTTGCTTGGAGGGAACTGTTTAAAAAAATCCCCGTTTAGCGTTTTTTTTCTTTTTTTTTTTAATATTTTTATTTACAGTGTGGTTCATCTTGTACAAGGCCCGGGAACCACTCGAGGTACAGAGTTACATAGTAAGAGGCACAGTTTATGCAGATCTGTGGGGAATATAACAGTTAACTCTAGACTTGAACAGGTCGAGATTGTACTGATCGGGAAAAAAAAGCATTCTCCTGGGAGTCGCTTTCATAGAGCAGTGGTTCACAGGAAGAAGCTGCTCGAGTGGAACTTAGGTCACACGAATAAAAAACAGAAGAAATGTCTGGTCTTAGCCGTGATGTTTAAAATTGCTGACAGTACGGAAGATGCATTCTAATACTGGAAAGAAATTTTAAAGAAAAAGAAAGCCATTCTTATACAACAACACATTCACCATACGTCCCTCACATACTGGCGCCACGTATTGTTTACATTAATCACTCGTCCAATTTTGTTTTTATGACAATGACATACTAGTCAAGAGTAGAAAAGCTCCCGCCGCTGCTGGTAAACAGAGTATGTTTAAGCTTGTGGCTCGGCTCCAGGAAGGTTTATAGTCTTGGAAATACTTGTAACAGCTAAATACTGAGGTTATATCATATAAAAGGCTGGATTAGATAGAGAGCTAACATTATAGTGTAATGACTCAACATACAAATCCACGTCCCTATCAGCCAAGCCAATTAGGTGACTGCCAAAGCTGACTTGAGCCTGGGCGTTGCTTTACATTCGTCTTGGAAGACGCACACGTATTTTTCAGGATATTTTTTATGAAAAAAGTGCGTCTTGTAAGCCGGAAAATATGGTAATCACTAACAAGTACGTGGAGACGCTCTTGGACTCTATCGAGACTGGAAAGTGAAGACTGTGTAGCGCCTGTCCAAGTATGACAGCAGTACTTAATTTTAATCCTGATCTGGCTCTTATAAAGGTGGAGGGTAGCACGATGATTTAGTTAGTTACTGGAGCGGTCCAGAGAACCGATCATTTTTTTCCTGTGCTTTTAGCAATGGATCAAATGTACGAGTTCCACTTGAAGTATGGGTTGAGTTTAAGAGTTAATACCGAATTTAGATGTTTTGAGGCAGTGACTATAGAAAGTTCTGAAGGCCAACATTTTACGATGCGTATTCTCATCGGATTTATTTAATCTGTACAGGAAAACAATCCTAAAAGAACTACCGTATATACTCGCAGATAGGTCGCACCAGTAGGTAAGTCGCATCCTCAAGTTTGGGGTTGTCAAAGTAGATATGTGTGGTTGACTCGCAGATAGGTCGCACTATAATCTGGGGAGTTACATGGCCCATTTTTAATGTAAATATAACTAATATTTGTTAAATATTCACCTTAATTTCAAAACTTTGCTTACATATATTAAAACATAAAAAGTGTTTATTCATTTAGATATAGTTATTAAACTTCATCAGGATTGAAACCTCAAAATTTTTCTTCGTCATCAACAGTCAAATATTCTTTACATTTGTATTTACTTATGGAATGCGGGACTGTTCTGTTTAGACGAGAATTTGGATACCGGTAATCATTCATATGAATAATGAATAAATGTAAATAAAAATCAAAATATAAATAAATATGAATAATGAATAAATAAATATGAAAAAAATAAGAATAAAATATAAATAAATATGAATAATAAATAAATAAATAAAAATAAATAAAAATAATATATATATAAATGAATATAGATAAAAATAAAATATAAATAAGATAAAATATAAGAATATTCAAGAAATATAAGAATATTCAAGAAATAAGAATATTCAAATATAAGATAAAATATAAATAAAATATAAATATAAAAATATATAAAAAAAATATAAATAAAAATAAAATATAAATAAATATGAATAATGAATAAATAAATAAAATAAAATATAAATAAATATGAATAATGAATAAATAAATAAAAAATAAATAAAGATAAAATATAAATATGAATAATGAATAAATTGATATAAATAAATAAAAATAAAATATAAATAAATATGAATAATGAATAAATAAATATAAATAAATAAAAGATAAAATATAAATAAATAAATATGAATAATGAATAAATGTAAATAAAAAATCAAAATATAAATAAATATGAAAATCAAAATATAAATAAATATGAATAATGAATAAATAAATAAAAATAATATATATATATAAATAAATATAGATAAAAATAAAATATAAATAAAATATAAATAAGATAAAATATAAGAATATTCAAGAAATATACAATCTACTTCAGATTCTCTATGATGTTGAAAAGTGCGACCTATCATCGACTATATACGGTAGATAACTTCAGTTCAGTTATATGCCATGCGTGATACACCCTTAGGCGATCATGTATCTTTCGATATATGACTGATGAGGTAGACCATTTGCCATCCAAGGCAATAGAGCCCGGTCTGTCCTGTTATTTACCCATAGCTGGGAGGAGATGAAGAGGATTCATATCTTTCCCAAGGATATTAGCACGTAAGTGAATGCTTACCTGTAATTTAATGAGATCTTGACGCCAGTCTAGTACTGCGGTTAAACTTTAAAAGTCTAGGTACCCTAGCAAAGAGCTCAC